GGGGGCAATATGCTGACTCTGTAAACCACTTAGAGAAGGTTCTAAGGCACTGTGAAGCGGTATATAAATGCTATTCCTCCGTCCCTCCTCCGTCCCTTCCTCTCTTATTCCCTTTCTCATTCTCCTTCTTGGTTAGAATGCAATATTGCAGGCTGACTCTGCCCACTGCCAGCCGTCCGATCCTGACCAGCTCAAGGTTGACTCAGCCTTCCATCCTTCCGAGGTCAGTAAAATGAGGACCCAGATTGTTGGGGGCAATAGACTGACTCTGTAAACCTCTTAAAGAGGGCTGTAAAACACTATGAAGTGGTATATAAATGCTGTTCCTTCCTTCCCTCCCTCCCTCTTATACCCTTTCTCATTCTCCTTCCTGGTGGCACAGTGGTTACAGTACAATATTGCAAGCTAACTCACTGCTAGGAATTCGATCCTGATTGCCTCAAGGTTGACTCAGCCTTCCATCCTTCTGAGGTGGGTAAAACGGAGACCCTGATTGTTGGGGGAAATAAGCTGACTCTGTAAACTGCTTAGAGAGGCCTGTGAAGCACTGTGAAGCGGTATAGAAGTCTAGTCACTATTGCTAGGGCTATGTCACAGCAACACTCAAGAGGCGGCCCTTTTACATCTTGATGTAAGGAAAGAGTTTTCCTATTCTTGATTTTTGTCTAAAGGGGACCGATCTTGCCTTACAATAGACAAGTTTGCTTTCTCTACAAGTCATCTTCGGCAGCGTGCCTACTTTGGATTATCCTTCTATTCTTTTTCTTACTGGAAAATCACAATTTATAGTTCTAACACTGTCTCAGACAGAACTGGGAGCCAGAGGTGTGTATGCCTAAAGGGACATGCTTTGAATGCCCTAAATTGCCTTTCTCCAGGGCACGCTCTCTCCTTATATAACCCTCGCTCTCTTATGAATTAAGATATGCAGATGCTTCCTCTCGAAGAGACTTTCCTTGGGAATTTTTTTTTTAAAAAAGGACAGGTCCCAGTTTGGAAAGTCTTGGAAAGTTTGTTGTGGTTCACCAGCAGCAGGCGCAGACGGCTGAGGTCTTGGAGAGCGAGGACTCAGGTGAGGGGCCTGCGTGTAATGCAGGGATGGGGCCAGGACCATCAGGGAGTGGAGTGCTGCCTTCGGAGATGGTGGAGGCTGGAAGCAATGATGAAGAGGCTCCCGAGGAGCCCATGCCCAGCACGCGTGCGCGCAGGGCTGCTCGAAGGAAAGAGCAGCTGCAGCAGCATGGGCAACCTGGGAGTAAGGATGCAAGATAATGGCCCCTCCCTTAAGAGATAAAAGCCAGTTCAGAAACCGGAGTTCTTTGTAGAAGACAAAGAAGTTTGATACTCGAGCCTGGTGGACGTTAGGAATATCTGAGTTGGTCTGTGGAGACTCTTTGATTTACTATTTAGTAACTTTATCTGGTGTTCTTGGCAACCTTGCAAAAACTTGGCAAGGCTCTTTTATCGGAGCTAATTAGTTGGAAGCAGCCTTTTACCTGCGAAGGAACAGGATTCATAAATTAAACATTAAAAGGTTGTGCTGTTACCTTTGTCTCGTGTTTGCTCTCTTGGAACCAGGTTTGGGTCAGAACACTTCCAGGGAGCTATTCCCAGATTCATTCAGGGTCAGGGCTGTCTTAATGCATGGGCCTGATGGGGCACTTGCCCGTGGGTTCCCCACGAGCATAGTGGCCCCATGCTAGTCTGTGTATGTTAACCCTTCAATGCACCTCATATCATATAAATACAGCAACATATTTATTATATTTTACTCGGTGGGATTCAACCGGTGGAACAACTGGTTTGGTGAGTGCGCGCTTTGTGCATTTTCAGTTCTATTACTTACCTTCTACTGCAGCCCCGGTGAGTAAAACAGCTGAGGTTGTGTGAATCAGCTGGGCTACAAAACATGGAAATGAAGGACAAACTAGAGCAGGGGCAGGCAGGTGGGGCTAAATGATTGCCGGAACAACCGGTTCCCTCGAACTGGTCCAAACCGGTAGAATCCCACCCCTGGTTTTACTGCATTTTTAAAATTAATACTAACATGCAAGCATGTGTTTCATTTTATCGACCATTTGCATTTTTATTCCTGTGAGTAGTTGTCATAGTAGGGGCCGCAGTACGCTGCGTTGCCCGGAGCCCATAATGCTGTTAAGACAGCCCTATTCAGGGTTATGTTTTCCGTCCCTCAAACATTGGGAAGAGTTTTAAACTCCAGCTTTATCCAAGAGTCCCTGCTTTGCAAATTGGACGTTGGGTGGCGTCGAGATTCCCGAGCCAGCTAGAACCGACCGAGAGAATAAGTGAGGATTGTATTCTTCCAGTGACTTTTCAAAAACAACTTTCTCATGTTTGGCAAACTATTTCGGTCATGGGTTTCATGCTCTGGGGGGTGGGTGGGGTGGCAGTTAAATCTGTTTGCGTGCCATGCCTTCTCAGCTGTGGTTACGTGGCTGGTGCTTAAATACAGCAACAAGTCAAAACTAACTGTGAAAGGCGGTTGATTGATCCAAGAAAGGAAGCCATGTTTACAGGTAGTCCTTGACTTATGACAGTTCACTCAGTGACCATTGAAAGCTACAATGGCACTGAAAAAAGTGACTTATGACCGTTTGACGCTTGCTGCAGCGTCCCCAGTGTGTTTGACATTCGGATGCTTGACAACCAACTCGCATTTATGATCGTTGTGGTGTCCCTGGGATCTCCTTTTGCAACTTCCTGGACAGCTAAAGCCCACGGAGAAGCCAGGTTCACTTAACAAACCTATTACTAATTTAACACTGGTGGCGATTCGCTTAGTAAAGGTGGCAAGAAAAGTCATAAAAAGAGGGCAGTACTCGCTTCAGACTTTTCTCATTTAGCTACACAAAATTTTGGGACTCTGTCATGGTCGTTAGTCAAGGACTACCTGTAGTAAGTTGGTATTAGGGAATGGCGCTTCCAGCTTAGCGACGAACTCGGTGGGTTGAAAAACATAACTGGGGGAAAGGAAAAAGGGGAAAAATAGCCAGTCCACTTTTAGGTTTTCAGAATTATGCGAGAGAAATTGGCCAATCTGAAAATTTGTGTCTCCAAGAGAAGAATTTATGGTGACTATATTTTATATATATTGATTGACTGATTAGCCTATAGCAGGGGTAGCATGTAAATATTTTTGCTACCGGTTCTGTGGGTGTGGCTAGGTGGGCATGGCCATGTGACTGGGTGGACATGGATTCTTTTTGGGGGGGCAGCACTGCCCACACACACAATCCATTTTTTGATCTCCTGGGCCTCAGGGAAGCCTCCTGGGGTGCATTTTTGCTCCCAGGAAGCTTCCCGGAGGCCCAGGAAGGCAAAAAAACAGTGTGGGAGGGCCGAGCAGCCCCCCTGCGCTCCATTTTTTGCCTCCTGGGCCTCAGGGAAGCCTCCCAGGTGAATCAGGAAGACAGCGAGGGGGATCCGGCATAGCTGATTGTTGGAACAGCTGATCATTGGGAGGAGAGAAAAAAATGAAATACCGTAAGGAGTGACTGGCGGGATGGGGTGGGTGGAGGAGAATGCAGTCAGCGATGTGCGCGATGTCACACATGCATGATAAGGATTGACTGGGCAGGGAGGGGAGGGGCGGACGGAGAGGGGCGGGGCCAGCCAATGGCACGATTTGCCGGTTCTCTGAACTGGGCAGAATCGTAACAACCAGTTCTATAGAACCGGTCCAAACCAGTAGGATCCCACCCCTGGCCTATAGGCCATATCAACGTACAGGATGAAACACGTATTGCCAATAAAATTCGACTCAAAACAATTTAAAACGAGAGTCAGGCAAAATACAACACTTTAATACATAAAACAAGTAAAATAGAATACAATGGCATACACACATACACCGCAATCTACCTCAGTCAGGTCCACATACGCTGAGTCAGAAATTGTGTTGTATTAAATGTCGTGTTCAGATTCTGGCCACATATGAGGCATGTGTTGTTTTAACATGGGCCTTTCACCGGGCCGTATATTTAATATGTGGACCCAGGTACATATTGCTCTCCCCCTTCTATAAACAGCAAATCTGAGTGAAGTCCAAGTGAAGACAAACTTCAACTAAGTGAACTTTTTCTAAGTCGTACGATCTGTAAATACGTGGCAATGAGCCAGACAAACAACTTGGCAAAAAGTCTTGCACTCTTCTGTACAGGACAGAATTACTAGGCTCGAAATTCTTGCTTTGGATAACTTAAGAACTGCGTCGCTTGTGGTCAGACCTAGGTATTGCATACAAAATTATGCGTAGTAATGCTTTACCTGTAAATGACTTTTTCTGTTTTAATCGTAATAATATACACACGAAGCACCACTTTTAATTCCATGTAAATCGTTCTAAACTTGACTGTAAAAAATATGATTTCTGTAATAGAGTTGTCCAGATCTGGAATGCCCTACCTGATTCAGTTGTCTCAGCTACAAATGTTCACAGTTTCAATCGCAAATTGACTTCCGGGGACCTTACTTCATATTTAAGGGGGTCAGTAGAAGATGCGTGCATAAGCGCACTGACGTGCCTATCGTCCCTGTCGTTGCATTTTTATTCTCTTATTCTTCTTGTTCTTGTTTGAGAAATCCCAATAAATACAATAAAACATAAAATTTGTCCCATCACTTTTGGCATATTTTTGCGGGACTCCATGGCTGCAGTTTGGAGCCTGGGCTGAAAATATTAACATAAATACCTTGGGTCTCCCCCCCCCCCCCCTCCCGAGTCTCTCCCCACCCTCCCCCCCCCCCCCCTCTCTCTCTCTCACACACACACACTAAATAAATTGCTTCCTGTATGATTCAAGCTGGGTTTATTCATTTCAGATGCCCAGAGGTGTGTGTGAGTGAGAGAACGTGCCACCTTGCCAAACAAATATTGGAAGAAACTCCATATTTCCCACTGTGGGTTTGGGAGGAGGAGAAGACGAGGAACAATTATTATTCCGTTGAGTAATTATTTTATTTTATGGGCTCCCTTTCAGAGCTGGTTACTATGGCAATGACTGCAGCAACTCCAACGTCTTTTCCTATGAGCAACCACACCCGCGAGCGAGTCACAGTGGCCAAACTTACTCTGGAGAACTTCTATAGTAACCTCATCTTGCAGCATGAAGAAAGAGAAACTAGGTAATTGTGGTCCCATCCGGCTTTAATAGCAAATCTTTGGGGAGGTTTTCGACATTGCTGTTGGGGACACCCTTAGGTGGGGAGGAGAACTGCCTGGTGGGAACCAAAATAGGTTTGTGGGCTCCTTGGTGCTCTCTGAGCTTGGCAGACATTTCGTGACCCAATTTATGTGCTGAGCAAAATTCCGCATTGGTGACAGGAAGGGCATCCGGCCAGTGGTGGGATTCAAAAATTTTTATAACCGGTTCTGTGGGTGTGGCTTGGTGGGTGTGGTGTGGCTTAGTGGTTGTGGCTTGGTGGGTGTGGCAGGGGAAGGATACTGCAAAATCTCCATTCCCTCCCCACTCCTGGGGGAGGGTTACTGCAAAATCCCATTCCCTCCCCACCCCACTAACCTGCTTTCCAGCTCTGTTCTCCTGTGCAGGGCAACCAAAGAAGACCCAGCCAATCAGCTGGGACTCACTGGGAGGCGGAGAATAGATGGGGTGGGGCCAGTCAGAGGTGGGATTGGCCAGTTCTCTGAACTGCTCAAAATTTTTGCTACTGGTTCTCCAGAACTGGTCAGAACCGGCTGAATACCACCTCTGCATCTGGTCTTTAAAGCATTCTGCTTGCTCCATTCAGTGGCCCAGACTCTGCCACCCGCAAGGGATTATGGGGTCATTAAATGAAGATGAATAGTGTGTAATGTTATAAAGTTAATTCTTTTAGTCTTTACTTAACCAGAAGACCAAGGTAGGTTTTGTTCCCGGGCACTACCGTTGTTACTCTGCAAACACTTCTGTTGACACATATCTCACACCTTGTTTGCCAGCTGCAACCTTATCTGGGTTTGGCCACGATTGTTTAACCTTTGTCAAATCTCCAGTTTAGACTTTTGCAGTGCAATTTGCATGAAGAGTTGGCTGGGTAATTCTGGGTGTTGAAGTCCACCTGTCTTGAAGTTGCCAAGTTGGGACAGACAATGATGGCTGGGTTCAGACGTCACACTAAACCACGATATGACGTGGTTGGTTTCACTGTTGAATGGATGCAGCCCATTTGTGTTCCTTCAATCTATCAAGGAGACATTGACCATTAATGTGATGCTTGAATCCTGCAACGTGTCTCTTTTCTTTTTCTTGGTCTTGAATTGCCATCCAGGAAGTTGAGGGATACATTTTTTATCAGGTTATCTATATAAATAAACTTCTTTCTTTCTTTCTTTCTTTCTTTCTTTCTTTCTTTCTTTCTTTCTTTCTTTCTTTCTTTCTCTTTCTTTCTCTCTCTCTCTCTCTCTCTCTCTCTCTCTTTCTTTCTTTCTGAACTTGAATAATGCAATGGGGGAAGAATTTTGGAATGAGAAAGACTTTCTCTTCCCTTTAGTGGTCCTCTCCATGATTATTAACTTGCCTTGTGTTGTGCAACTCAGACTTTGGACCCAGGTTTCTGTGTTTGAGGTGAAATAACCCTCTTTTTCAATTCTAAAATAGAATAGAATATTCTTTATTGGCCAAGTGTGATTGGACGCTCAAAGCATCTGATGCAGAAGCTCTCAGTATCCATACAAGCAACAAAGTCATAAATCATAAGATACAAGCAACAAAATGAGAGTCATAAGATACAAATAGGAGTAGGTTAATAGGAAAGATGAGAAGGATAATAATAATAGAGTCATACTACATTGTTTGATATCCTTAGGCATAAGAGAGTGCTGTGGGAATAATGTGTTTAGTTGCGTAATGGCACAGGGGGGGAAAACTGTCTTTGTGTCTAGTTGTTTTGGCATGGAAAAAAAAAAGAGTTGTTTCATAATACGTGATTTGTACCTCCAACTTAGGCAGAAGAAGCTAGAAGTAGCCATGGAGAAAGAAGGCTTAGCAGATGAAGAGGTAATTCAGATACTTGTGAAGCTGAAAGTTTTTATAGCTTTTGTTTGCTTAAGATTGGTACAGTCCTTAATGATTCATAACTTGCATGCAAAATTTGTGTGTGTGTGTGTGTGTGTTTGTTTTAATAACATTGGCCAGAAAAAGTCAACAGAAGAAAAAGTAGTAAATGGAGGAAAGGGCCAGCAGTGGGAGAAAAAAATCAGACTATTTTCAGATTTATACACCCATGGCTTCTATTAAAGGAACTCCAGTGTGAAAAATACTTCGGAGGTAAATAAGTAAAATAGTAGTAAGGGCTCCTCTGTTAGAACATTTATGCTATGTTGACTTTAACATTTACAAGATACGTAGCTTCCTCATATATATATACATATACATATTTCTCTATATACACATATAATCCTTAATTTATGACCATTGGGACCTGTGATCATAACTCAAGGACTACCTGTATTTTTCAAATATATTTTAAAATCTTAGCAGTCCTTCTGCCAGGAATGCACAAGCTATAAACAGTGACTAGGATAGTCAGATTAAACTAAGTTAGCTTCTCCTTTGGTGCAATAAAGAGCTAACCATTTGTGGAAGTTTTACCAATGCATTGCTTTCTATTACAGCCATATATATCACAAAATGAATTATTACTGTATTATATCTATTAATGTTGAATAAGAAAAACAAGGGTATATAAGTACTTCCTCCAAATTATATGTAGTTATTAATAATTATTGCTGGTACACAATGCTATCATTTTTTCCCCTAGATGATGACTTTAGGACTTGTTTGATCGTGCGTGGCATTATATTTGTTGTTTTATATGAATGTAAGTTGAGACTTTGCCCGAAAGCACGTCAAAAGCGGGAAGCCTCGCGTTAAATTAGTATACGATGCCACCTTGTGGTTTTAGAAATAATTCTCAGAAGTGTGGCAGTCTTTTAAAGAGGACGTTTGGTTGCCCCCCAGAAAAAGCTCCGAAGATCTCAGCACGCCCACAAAGAAACGGAATTTTTAAGGCTGAAAAGGACAAGACTGGGCCTGGATGACTTTGAATCTCTGAAGGTGATCGGAAGAGGGGCATTTGGCGAGGTTAGTGGTTGGGCTCCAAGAATGATTTCCCAGCATATTTTCTTGACCACTTTGCAGGATCGCTACACTGACAACCATGAAGTTGTTGAACGCCACCACAGAAGGAATAAGAGAGTAACAGAGTTGGAAGGGAATTTAAGCAGATGTCAGATTAATGGATTAACAAGAGTTGGAAGGGACCTTGTAGGTCATCTAGTCCAACCCCCCGCCCAAACAGGAGACCCTACGCCATTTCTGACAGATGAGAGTCCAATCTCTTCTTGAAAGTCTCAAGTGATGAAGATCCCACCACTTCCAAGGGCAACTTCTGTTCCATTGGTTGATTGTTCTCCCTATCAGAAAATTCCTTATTTCTAGGTTGAATCCCTCGTTGATCAGTTTCCATCCATTATTCCTTGTCTGGCCTACAGGAGCTTTAGAAAATAGCTTGACCCCCCCTCCTCCTCTCTGTGGCAGCCCTTCAAATATTGGAAGACGGCTATCCTGTCTTCCCTGGTCCTTCTCTTCCCTAGACTAGCCAAGCCCAGTTCCTGCAACCGTTCAGCATCTGTTTTAGCCTCCAGTCCCCTAATCATCCTGGTTGCTCTTCTCTGCACTTTTTCTAGAGTCTCAATATCTTTTTTATAATGTGGTGACCAAAACTGGATGCAGTGCTCTAGGTGTGGTCTTACTAAGGCTTTATAGAGTGGTATTAGCACCTCCCTTGATCTGGATTGTATCCCTCTGTTAATGCAATTTAGGATTGCATTGACTTTTAGGAACAACCAGAAAGGAAAAGTTTATGCATTGTTTTAAATTAGCGCTTCGAACTTGGAAGTCCATGATTCAAAGCTCCTTTTTTTTTTTTTTAATCCACAGGTCCGATTAGTTCAGAAAAAAGATACGGGTCATATATATGCCATGAAAATATTGAGAAAAGCTGACATGCTGGAAAAAGAGCAAGTATGTCTCTCTCTCTCTTTTTTTTTTCAAATATAACTTTAAAGCACGTGCAAACCAATGTCTAAAAGGCATATATTTTTGCGGTGAATTGTATGTGTTAACTAGTTGTTTTGACCAAGGACTGATTTGAGCAGCTCAGTGTGATATGGACAACACTGAACCGAATTTGCACTGGTCCTGGGAGATGCGCAGATCATCTTCTTTTAATGACCCCATAATCCCCTGCGGGGTGGAGTCTGGGCAACTGAATGCAGCCAAGTGTTTACTGGCTGGATGCCCTTCCTGTCATCAATGCGGAGTTTTGTTCCACAGATATATTCTCAGTTTGCCCAGAGAGAGAAATATTTAGGATCGAACTCACAGTCTCCTGATTGTGAGGTGAGCGCTCCACCTCTAGGCCACTGTACCACTCATGGTAGATGCGCAGATGACCTCTATAATATCAAAATATCATTACTAATTCTGACAGTGGGATTGAAGAACAAACTATAGGTAATTCTCGACTTACAAGATTAACTTGTGCTGAGTGCCAGCGAGTTGGGAAAGGTTGCCTTGCACCTAACAGCAATAAAAGTTTCATTGCCTTGAAAACTGTTTATGTACACATCTGTTTGGTAGGCAAACCCATTTTTTACCTTCAACTTTGATTTGATTGACAGGTGGCTCATATACGAGCAGAAAGGGACATCTTAGTAGAAGCTGATGGTGCCTGGGTCGTGAAGATGTTCTATAGTTTTCAGGACAAACGCAACCTTTACTTGATTATGGAGTTTCTTCCAGGAGGTAAACAATTCCGTGAAATTATTTCAGGGAATCATTGAACAATTCAGCAAATATTTTCGGTGAAAAACCGCCATTTCCCCCCAAGGCCAAGATTTGTGTTGACAATCAGGTCTTCAGCCTGGCAGCCATTTTTTATCTCTCTCTTAATGGTGGGAAATATTTTATTTGCATTGACTTGGAGTCTGTGCCCCAATAACATTAAGATAAATCCAACACAAACCTATAAAAACCAAAACCATGAATGTTGGTAGCAATGGAGTGTGGGCCATAACCCTCCTGGAATGCCTTCTGCTTATCCCTTATTGAAATATCCTTTGCGATTAAGGTCCACAGTTAATCCATGGAACGGCTTAGTTCCAGAAGTTGTGGGGGCTTCATCACTGGAGGTTTTCAAGAAGAGATTGGACAGCCATTTGTCCAGAACGGTAGAGGGTCTCCTGGGGGTTGGACCAGAAGACTGCCAAGGTCTCTTTCAACCTTATTATTCTATGTTCTGTGATCCTGCCATATTCTCAGAGTAATGTTTGGAATAGTGGAGATTGTATCATTTGAGGGGGAAGGTACATTCTCTGTGGTTTTGTGTTAGTTTCCGTCAGTCTCGGTGTCCTTCTGTTTCAGGTGTGGGTGTGTCAAGTGAGGGTCTTGTGATGGGTCAGGTGTGAGTCATCAGTGAAAGGGTCTTGTGATAGGGAGGTTACATTAGGTCAGGGGTATTTGGGAGGTGAACCGGTGGAGTGGAGGCGTGGGAGATCATGGTGTCATTTTTATTCTTTTTTTTTTTCCTCTATCGAAACCAGCTGTGGTAGAATGTAGTCTGGATTCCCAGAAGGGAGGGGGCTGCATTCCAGAGGACCAAGAGACAGCGAAGTTTAGAGACTTCAGCTGGGAGGCAAAGAGATAAGGCGGCTCCTTCCTCGCAATTCCCAGACTATAATGATCCGAATGGTCTGCTTTAGTTTGGCAAGATTCTGTCTGTAGGTGAGAAGCAACGAAGGAAGCTGCTCACAATTAACTCAGTTTGTCTTCCTTGCTTTTTGCAGCTCAACTCCAGCTAAATACAGTCTTGTGTCTTGTTCTCTCTGATTCAGGTGATATGATGACTTTGCTCATGAAGAAGGATACACTCTCTGAGGAAGAGACACAGTTTTATATCTCCGAAACCGTGCTCGCTATCGACGCCATTCACCAGCTGGGGTTTATTCACAGAGATATTAAACCCGACAATCTTTTGCTGGATGCAAAGGTATGTAATATTCATACGTGTCCTCTCTTTTGTGTCCTTGTTCTAGGATGGGATGTCTCAGCAACTTTCAGCTAGGTGGACTTCAACTCCCAGAATTCCCCAGAATAGAATTCCGGAAGTTGACGTCCACACTTCCGGGAATTGAATTCTGGGAGTTGAAGTCCCCCCAGCTGAAAGTTACTGAGTCACTATAAGTCACTTTATTCAGCCGCCGTTAAAACTTTGAACCGTCACTAAATGAACTGTTGTAAGTCGAGGATTACCTGTATTTTGTGTGTGTGTGCGTGCGTGTGTGTTATGTTTTATACAGTTTTATCTTTAATATTATAAGCCGCCCAGAGTTACTGTGTGGTAGGTAGGATGGATGGCCAATAAATTTTGCAAATAAAAGAGTAATAAAAGTTTGCTTCAAATCCATCCATTTGCCTCTCTTGATGGCTCAGACATGATGAACTGGCAACTTTTGTGCTTGGCCTGCTTGATGGTGAGATGTAAATCGGGGAATTGCTCCAGAAGTACATATTTACATCAACCGCCTGGATTAATCATATGAGCAATGTTTTCTTCCTGTAGGGCCATGTAAAACTCTCTGATTTTGGGCTATGCACAGGTTTAAAGAAAGCTCACCGAACTGAATTCTACAGAAACCTTACGCATAACCCCCCGAGTGACTTCTGTGAGTACTGCACATTCCACTTTTAGCGATAAATATTCTGCATACTGTATTGATGGAGGAGAATATTTGTGGCGCGGGATGGAACGGTAGGCCCTGGGTGCTCTCTGAGCAGTGTGGTTTCCTTGCAGACGTTTCATGACCCAACTAGGCAACATCATCAGTGCGAGAAGGGAGTGGGGTTTGCGGAGAGGAATGAAGGGAGAAGAAGAGGTGGTGGCGGCAATGAAGGAGAGGAGGAGGAGGAAAAGGAGAGCGACTGGGGGTCCTTGGTGGTCTCTGAGCTTGGTAGCTTCCTTGCAGATATTTCATAACCCAACTAGGTAGCATCATCATTGCGAGAAGGGAGTGGGGTTTGTGGAGTGGAGAAGGAGGAAGAGGTGATGCTTATTGAAGGGGAGGAAGAGGAGGAGGAGGAGATCAGTGACTTAGTGCTCTTAGCTTGGTTGTTTTCTTGCAGACATTTCATGACCCAACTAGGTAACTTCATCAGTGCTAGAAGGGAGAGGGGTGTGTGGAGTGGAGGAGAAGGAGAAGGGGCGGAGGAGGGGGAGAAGGAGGAGGAGGAGGAGGAGGAGAATGATAGAATCAATTTTCCCCAATGGGCATTTTTGGCCAGAAACCAGAAGTAAACAATGGAAACTGGCCACCAAAAAAAAAAGAAACACTTCCCAAATCATGGTCATGTGACCATGGGATGCTACAAATGGACATAAAGGTGAGCAGATTGCCAAGTGTCCAAAATCCAATCATGGGACCGTGGGGGATAGGGAGGGAATATGGCTGTCGTAACGCCGAGAACAGGCCATAAGCAGCTTTGGCAAGAGTAATGTCAGGTCTCCAGCATCAACCCCCATTTAAATCATGAGTCTCTAGCCACAACTCTCAGAGTTTAAAGAAGATTTATTAGGAGTGAAACATGCCGGTGCTACCTGGGTGCAGCCGACTCTGAGACACATCATTCATTTCCCCCTTGACCCTAGTCTTCCCCCATCCCCTGGATGTATATTCTCCAATGGGACACATCCATAGCCAAGAGTCATCAGTCATACTCTCCAGTAATAATCTTGCATGCCAGAAGCTTTGGCCGCCTAGAAATTATCTATGAAGCATTTAAGGAATGCACTACTTCCCCCCACTCCCTTTCTGCTGGCAACTCTAAAAGACCAGAGAAATATTTTTGACTTGACACGTAACTTCAAACATTTATTAAGTGACCAGTTGTAAGTTGAGAACTAACTGTAGCTGGATGCCTCCAAGTTATGTCCTAATATGTCTTTTGAACAAGCAGTTCCACGTTTTATGGATTTTGGTGTTCGGGAAATTTTAAGATGTACCGTTTTCAAGATTGTCTCTCCAACGTAGAGCTGCTCTTAATGCATTGGAAGTCTACATTGATGAGACATTTAGGGAGGGAAAGAAATAATTAAAATAACTTTATTTTAACGTTTGCATGAGCAAATGCCCTGTAATTCATTCCTGCCCCGTTTTGTATCCTGCATTGGAACAATAAGCAGGCTGAATTTTTATGATTCCGTTAAAATGGAAAGCATTCAGTTGTCTCTTTGCTTTGTGACTCAGCCTTTCAGAATATGAACTCCAAAAGAAAAGCAGAAACGTGGAAGAAGAACAGGAGACAACTGGTGAGTATGAATCCCCAGAGACCTGGTTGAGTTCTGCAAAGTCCTTCCAATGTAAAAATGTTTGGAGGAAGTTAGGCAGTCTTCAAGGCCTCCTTTGGAGCTCTCTGAGCTTGGTTTTCTTCTTGCAGTCATTTCATGACCCAACTAAGTAACATCATCAGTGCTAGAAGGGGGGGGGGTTGCTCAGAGAGTTGAACTGTGGAACCCTTTGGTTGTTTTCCTGAAGACATTTCATGACCCAACTAAGTAACATCATCAGTGCTAGAAGGGAGGAGGAGGAGAAGGAGGGGGGAGAAAGAGGAGGACTGTAGGGTCCTTGGCATTCTCTGAGTTGGGTTGTAGTCTTGCAGATGTTTTATTACCCAACTAAGTAACATCATCAAATGCTAGAAAGGAGGAGGAGGAGGAGGAGGAGGAAGAGGAGGAGAGGGAGGGGAGAAGAGGAGAAGGAGGAATGGAGTCCTTGGTCTTCTCTGAGCTTGGTTGTTTTCCTGCAGACATATCATGACCCAACTAAGTAACATCATCAGTGCTAGAAGAGAGGGGTGGGTTTGAGGAGTAGAGGAGAAAGGGGGGAGGAGGAGGAGAAGGACTGTGGGATCAATTTCCCCCAGTGCCTGTTGTTTATTTATTTATTTTTGGCCAGAAACTGGAAGTAAACAATGTGAAACAATGCCATTTTCAGAGAATGCGTAAAAACCGAACTAGACTACAGAACTAGACTGCTCGTGTGGCCTGCCAGTGGCTGCTCGTGTGGCCTGCCAGTGGCAGCAGAGTTGGACCGTAGTGAGGAGGTTGGGGAGGAACATGGGCCAGTCCTGGAGGCTGAGGAAGGCTCAGACGAGGGCTCTGCATCAGAGGCAGAAATGGGGCCAGGGCAGGCTGGCAGTCGTCAGCTGCCTTTGGTCTCGTACAGCAGTGAGGATGGGGGAGCTTCTGGAACCAGTTCCCAGCCTGCGCAGAGCTGCCAAAAAAAGGCACAATTAAGAACTCAGGGTCGACATGGAAGTAAGGCCACAGGTAGACGATGAATGGCCCCTCCCATAGAGATTAAAAGAGGAGCAAAAGGGGAGGGGGCTTCTGCAGGAAACAACTTGCTCATTCATTCATTCGTTCCAGCCTTTTGAAGAATTGTCTTTGTAACCCAGCCCTCCCCTGTCAGCACTGAGTGTGGAAATATTTACCGGGCAGCTTTCCAAGATAGATAAGGTCTGAGCTAATAAGTATACCTATGTAAGACTGTTCGCCAAGCCGTTGGCTGAATGTGAATGCACTAAATTCACATTCATTTAATAAAAGAGGTTTTGCTGGGACTCAGAGTTGGCTTAGTGCTTTTTGGGGAAGCTTAGGACAGAACAGCTGCTTTCTTGGAAAGACATAATAACCCTGGATTGGTTTTAGAAGGTGGCCTGAATCTCTCTCTCTCTCTCTCTCTCTTTTTGAAATATCTTTTTTCAGGCCTATTCTACTGTTGGGACTCCAGACTACATCGCGCCTGAGGTTTTCATGCAAACGGGTTACAACAAACTCTGTGATTGGTGGTCTTTGGGAGTCATCATGTACGAAATGCTAATAGGTGAGAGGAACAAATGGGGCCTGCAATTAAAAAGAGGTTGTCCTAGGCGAAGAGGGTAAGCACATGTCAGAGCATTTGCAACGTGACTGCCATTATGAGATAACCCAGGAGCAAAACACAGCACACAAAGACAGACATTTAACAGTGGTTTATCTACAAGACATATACAGAAATATACATGGTAGGCAAATACCTGACAAGCAATCAATCTTCTTAACTCTACACTGAGAACTCAGCAATTGATACAGGACACAAGGAGAGAGAAAACGCCCTGTAATGGCTGCCTTTGTATAGACACCTCTTAAAGAGGTAGAACCTATGCTGATTCATCCTCGTTCTTAAAGAGGCAGTACTAATGCTGATCAGTGGTGGTATTCGACTGGTTCAGCCCGGTTCTGGCGAGCCAGTAGCAGCGATGAGCAGCGGAGACCAGTTCTCTCCGCTGCTCTGATGTTGAGCCCGCCCGCCCGTCCGGACTCCCATAATCACTTTTATCTGCTGAATTTGAAGTGCAGCTGCTTTGCGTGGCACAGTATAGTGCTGCGCGGCAGCTGCTGAAGCGACTGGGATCGTGCAGGCTTGCAGGAGGCGAGTTAGAACACCTCTGCGCCTGTGCAAAGTGTGTGTTTGGTACGCGCATGCACACAAAGTGTGTGCACGCATGCAAAGCATGCCCGCCAAGCTACGCCCATCGAACCGGTGTCAAAAATATTTGAATCCCGCCACTGATGCTGATTCATCTTCATTGCATCAGCCTTATATTACATCAGTTTTGCTGCTGGGCAGTTCTTAAATCCCAATACCTTAACAGCACAGGGTTTGTACAAACTCACGTTCATTGCGTCAGTGACCCCATCTAACCATCTCATTGTCTGTCCTCTCCTTCCCCTCCGGCCTTCCATCTTTCCCAACCTCAGGGGGTCTTTTTATCATCTTCTCCTTTAGTGGCCAAAGTCTTTGAGCTTCAGCGTCAGGGTCTGCCCTTCCAAAGGACAGTCAGGGCTGATCTCCTTTAGGATTGGCTGATCGGATCGTCTTCATTTTCAAAGGAATAGAATAGAAAGCAGAGTTGGAAGGCACCTTGGAGGTCTTCTAGTCCAACCCCCTGCTCAGGCAGGAAACCCTAGACCATTCCAGGCAAATAGCTGTCCGATCTCTTCTTAAAAGCCTCCAGTGATGGAGAAGGAAGGAAGGAAGGGAGGGAGGGAGGGCAGCATTTCAGAATGACAGAATAATAAAGTTGGAAGTGACCTTAGAGATCTCCTAGCCCAACTTTCTCTTCAAGTAGGAAACCCTATCCCATTTCAGACAATTTCTTCTTAAAAACCTCCAGCAATGGAGCATCCACAACTTCTGGTGGCAAGCAGTTCCACTGGCTAATTGTCCTCCCTGTTAGGAAGTTTGTCCTTAATTCCAGGTTGCTTCTCTCCTTGGTTAGTTTCCACCCATTGCTTCTTGTCCTGCTTTCTGGTGCTATGAAAAATAGCTTGACTCCCTCTTCTTTGTGGGCAACCCCTGAGATGTTGGGGAAATTCGTTTTGGTGGGAGAACCATGGGGAATTGATACGATGCTGTGTATCAAATTTATTCCAGGTACTTAAATATTGTCCATCTCTAGGTCAACGCTTTCATTTCCTACCTTTCTACAGGATATCCCCCCTTTTGCTCCGAAACACCGCAAGAAACCTATAGAAAAATTATGAACTGGAAAGAAACGTTGGTATTTCCACCGGAAGTGCCCATTTCAGAAAAAGCAAAGGACCTCATTTTAAAGTAAGTAGATCAAGTGTTATGTTACATTAGCCTGTTATTGATCATCTAGTTTGCTTTGTCATTATGCTGAAGAGGCTTTACATTACAATGCTAGAATCGCTCGCCAGAGAAACTTAGCTTGTGGGAGGGAAGGGCTGTCGTGCAAGGGTAGATTTCTAAGCATTAAGTTGGCCAACAAAGCAGTGGAAAGGAGGCAAGGCAGCGTTGGGATTCAAATTTTTTTTGCTACCGGTTCTGTGGGCGTGGCATGGTGGGCGTGGCAGGGGAAGGATACTGTAAAATCTCCATTCCCTCCTCACTCCTGGGGGAAGGTTACTGTGAAATCCCATCCCCTCCCCATCCCACTAACCTGCTTTCCAGCTCTGTTCTCCTGTGCAGGGCAACCAAAGAAGATGCAGCCGATCAGCTGGGACTCAATGGGAGGCAGAAAATAGATGGAGGCGGGGCCAGGCAGAGGTGGTATTTGCCGGTTCTCCGAATGACTCAAAATTTATGCTACTGGTTCTCCAGAACTGGTCAGAACCTGCTGAATACCACCTCTGAAGCAAGGGGTCAAGTGCCATCGAAATCAGAAGTTCCAGACAGTCTAAAGTTACGGCGATAAAGGTTTTATTGCAAGCTTAAGCTCTCTAAGAGAATCTGAACTACTAACAGCCAAGGGAAATTAGCGGGAGATAAGGAATTCACGGTGAGCTGGACTCTCTGGGGACTCTGAAGGGTCTCATGATTGAAGATGGGTTTGACCCCTCCTTTGGGCCCAGCCTGGATCTCTCCTACATCCAGTTCAGACAGCAAAAATTGAGCTGGTTGGTTCAAATACCGGTTTGGCGAATCAGGTGCAAATTTAACATCCGGTTCGCCCGAACCGGTCTGAACCGGTAGAATCCCACCCCTCCTTTTAACCGCCTGATAGAAAAGATGATAAAAGATGAGCATCTTTTCAGAGATCTTGTGATTTAATGGAATTTCAGGCTGATTGTAGGTATCAAAAATGCCAGGGACGACTTCTTGGATGCCAAAATTTTTCTTGCTTTGTTTCAAATATTTTTTGAAAGTAGATTGTTGTAGGCTAGAAACTGTGATGGATTGCATCATTTTTGCTACCTTAATATAGGTAATTCTCAAATTATGACTACCATTGAGCCCAAAATCTATCTTGCTAAGTGAAATGTTTGTTCAGCGAGTTTGCCTCATTTTACAACTCTTCTTCCTAACGTTGTTAAGCGGATTATTGCATCTGTTAAGTTAGTCACACAGTTGTTAGGTGAATCTGGCTTCCCTCTGGACTTTGCTAGTCAGAGAAGGTTGCAAAAGGGGATCATGTGACCCCAGGACTTTGAAAACTGTCATAAGTATGAGTCAGTTGCCAAAAGTCTGAATTTGAATCACGTAGCCATGGAGATGCTGCTACAATCGTACATAACTGTGAAAAATGGTCGTGAGTCACATTTCTCAGTGCCGTTGTAACATCAAACAGTCACTAAATGAATCGTTGTAAGTCAAGGACTACCTGTAATAACTTTTCTTTCCTTTTTGTTTTAAACCTTGCCTCTCTTCCAGATTTTGCACGGATGCGGAAAACAGAGTCGGCAGCAACAGCGTAGAAGAAATTAAGAGCCATGCGTTTTTCGAAGGGGTGGATTGGGCCCACATCAGGTAGGTTTAGCGAAAAATGGAAAAATTCAGGAGAAATTTAGGGATAGATACTTCACATCCCAGGTGAGAGCTACCTGTTGAACCTCTTGGTGTCTCCTTAAAGAAGCTGCATATTTCCTGGGTTTGCTTAGTAGCAATAGCAACAGTGCGTAGACTTATATACCACTTCACAGGGTTCTAAGCAGTTTACAGAGCCAGCCTCTGCCCCCCAACAATCTGGGTCCTCATTTTACCAACGGCGGAAGGACAGAAGGATGAGTTTACCTTTTGCTGGTCAGGATCGAAGTGCTGGCAGCGGGCAGTGTGTTAGCCTGCAATTCTGCCTTCTAACCACTGCGCCACCAGAGTAGTCATTGACTTTGTGTGTCACAAGGTCGCTAAAGGGCATCCCGTGACCCCGCACCATCATAATTATGAGTCAGTTGCCGAGTGTCTGAATTTTGATCATGTGACCACGGGGACGCCACAGTGGTGATCATTATGAAAAATGGTCGTAAGTCCAGGTCATTGTGGGCTCACCTGGATCTACCTGGAAACTCCTCTAAATGCATTCAGGATGGAAGTAACAGATATATTTACTTATTTATTTGTTAGAGGTGGTGGGTTTATTTGAAATCTTTTGCAGCAAGATTCAGTTGTGCTGATCGCAATGTTGCTTGTAGCCTTGATCTGTGTGACGTTTGCTTTTCGTTTTAGGGAAAGGCCAGCTGCGATCACTATAGAAATCAAAAGTATAGACGACACCTCCAATTTCGACGAATTCCCCGAATCTGATATTTTACAACCAGGTGAGCGTGATACACAGGGACGCAACAATACCAATGTTGTTGAGAGGACAGGGGAGAGAAAAGAACCACAGAGAAGAACCAAAGAGGAAAAGAAGAGGGGAGAAAGGAGAGAAGGGGAGAAAAGAACGAAAGAAAAGAACAAAAGATAAAAGAAGAAGGGAGGAGGGGAAGGGAAAAGGGAGAGGAGAGAGAAAAGAATGAAAGAAAAGAAGAGGGGAGGAGAGGGGGAAGAGGGGAGGGAATAAGAGGGGAGAGGAAGGGAAGGGAGAGAGGAGAGATGGAGGGGAGGGGAGAGAGGAGAGAAAAGAATGAAGGAGAAGAATGAAAGATAAAAGAAGAGAGGGGAGCAGAGTGGAAGGGATAAGAGGAGAAGGGAGAGTGGAGAGGAGAGAAGAGGAGAATCCCTTCTAGCATTGATTATGTTAGCTAGTTGGGTCAGGAAACGTCTGCAAGAAAACAACCCTGCTCAGAGAGCACCAAGGACCCCTCCTCCCCCTCCTCCTCCTCTTCTTCCTCCTCCCCCTCCTCTTCCTCCTCCTCCTCCTCCTCCTCCTCCTCCCTTCTAGCACTGATGATGTTACCTAGTTCGGTCATGAAAACTACCAAACTCAGAGAGCACCAAGGACCTTTATTTCCCCCCTTCTCGTCTTCTTCCTCTTCCTCCTCTTCCTCCCCACAAGCCCCACTCCCTTCCAGTACTGATGACTGACCTAGCTGGCTCATGAAACATCCGCAAAAAAAACCACCCAGCCCAGAGAGGACCTCGCGGTTTAATAATAAACGTGTAGTTCAAGATCCCCTTCCTACTTTCTACTTGCACACGGTAACCTTGAATCCCTCCATTGCCCTCACAATCAAATCCTTTTTTGCATTTCAGTGCCGAATACCACTGAACCGGATTTCAAGTCCAAAGATTGGGTCTTCCTGAATTACACCTACAAGAGATTCGAAGGGCTGACTCAGCGGGGTTCGATCCCTTCTTACATGAAGGCTGGGAAGTTGTGAGAGAGAGACACACAGTGGGCCAGGAAACGTAAGAACTCAGGTACCCCGCCCGCCTCCGCTCGACCTCCACCCTCTCCGACGTTCCCACAGACCGGCGACCATGGTCTCGGGGCTCTCCTCCTCCCCTCCCCGAAAAAAAACATAAGGAATTCTACCGGATTAGAATTTTCTGAGACTACTACAGACTTATTAGTTGGCAGTGCCAGCTGGCGGCTTCTATGAATAGTGAATTATTTTTGTTAAAACTTTATTACAACAGAGGTACTGGAAATTTAAAGAAAAAAAGAGAGTGTGAGAGAGAAAAAGAGAAGAAGAAGAAGAAGAAGAAGCAATCAACGTTCCTCTTTGTATCTGCACTGCCCGAAATGTACGTTATAAGGGTCAATTCTAACTCTACGGGGTCACTTGGTTTAGGGTTGGAGCCAATGGTGGGATTCAAATAATTTAATAACCGGTTCTCTGCCCTAATGGTTTCTTCAAACAACCAGTTCCCCAAACTGCTCTGAACGTTAACAACCAGTTCTCTCGAACCGGTGTGAACTGCCTGAATCCCACCACCGGTTGGACCTACCTGTCAGTTTGCCCTGGTGTTCAAAAGGTCGTGTCTGTGTAAGAAGCAGCCTTGTCTGTTCTTCAACAAGGGACAGTTCCAATTCACCTGGGCATGGTTTGTTTTTTTGAAGGTAGAAAGGACAGGTAATCCTCGACTTACCCTGCTTCATTTAATGACCCCTTCCAAAGCAGCGACAACACTGAGAAAAGCGACTTCATGGCCTTCCCCCCCCCCACACACACACCCATGTCCATTTTCCAGCCTCTTCCCACGGTGATCAAAATTCAGACTCGTATTTGCGATGGATGCAGGGTTGACGTGACCCCTCCCCCTTTTGCAACCTTCTGACCAGCAGAGTGAAAGCTGGATTTGCTTCACAAGTGTGTGACTCACTTAGGAACGGCAGCGATTTGCTTAATGACCCGTGGCTAGGAAAGTTGTAAAAGGGGGAGGGGAAGCGAACCGAGGTCTGGCTTAAACGGCAGAGGTTTTGGGTTCTGCTTGCGGTCGTACGTTGAGGATTACCTGTGTGAAAAAACGCAGAGAAGGGGAAGCCACGTGGTTCGATAACGTGGTTCGCTACGGATTGAAAGACGGTGGACTTCAGAAGCTGCGGTAAAGGGATTGAAACGAGCTATTTTTGACAAAGGTTTTTTGCCACTCCTGCTGGCTTCTTGCTCTCCTCGCTCAGGGCTCCTTAGTCTTAACACTAAAAAGAAGTGACTCCTTCAGATTGTAATTTGGAGTCAAACTGGTTTGGAACCGGATTCAACCCCAAGGTGCGCCTTTGGCTGTTTTCACAAGCGAGACGCCACTTTTATCAAATAAAAGTGAGCGGCAGCTTTCATCTCAAATCACTGGAAAACATCTTAAGACGGG